GATACCCAGCCAGAACTCATTCAAATAACTCTGTTTAGTATTAAACGACATTATGGAGCGTAGACATCTTAACAGAGACGAAATGCTAAGGGCCATGGGTATGCTCGAAGCTGGAATGCGCCAAATCGACGTAGCTAGAGCATTAAATACAAAGCAAAGTGTAATATCGCGATTAAGTGCACGCTACCCTGAAAGTGGTGATGCTGCTGAAAGGCACACAGGGCGACATCGCATTACTACCCCTCAGCAAGGTCATTTTTTACAATTAAATGCTCGACGCCCGACCGACTTTTACAGTACCAGAGCTTAGTTTAGTTCTCCAGGAAACACATAATGTAACCGTTAGTCCTGACACTGTTCGCAATAGATTAAGAGAGGTCAACTTAAGAAGCAGACGCCCCTGGAGAGCTCAACCCTTAACGAGAGGAAATCGAGAGGTACGATATTTGTGGGCTCAAGATCATGTTAAGTGGTCGAATGAACAATGGGCCAATGTTCTCTTCACGGATGAGTCACGCTTTAGAATTCATCCGGATTCGAGAAGGCTTAGGGTATGGAGAGAACCGGGAAATTTTATTCGGTTGGATCATGTTCAGGAAGTGCACCCTTATCAAGGTGGAACAGTTATGGTCTGGGGAGGAGTCCAGTTAGGCCGAAAAACCGATCTCGTTTTTCTTGAAAGGTTTCTAACAGGAATCACATATCGTGATTTAATTTTTGAGCCTGTCGTGTTACCATATGCCAATGATTTTGGGAGAAACTTCATTCTCATGCATGACAATGCACGGCCTCATACAGCCAGAGTGGTAAGTGAGTTTATCAATGCTCATCAATTAAACATCTTACCCTGGCCAGCACAATCTCCTGACCTCAACCCCATCGAGCACGTATGGGACGCGGTCCAAAGAAGAATTTTGAGAATGGGTATGCCTCGTGAAACACGTAGGGATCTGGTTCGGACCGTGAATGCAGCGTAGCAGGCTGTACCTCAAGAAGAGATCGACAACCTGATCAGGAGCATGGAGAGACGATGTAGGGCTGTAATGAACAGTAGAGGAGGCTATACCCTTTATTAAGTAAAAATGGTTTTATCTTTTTTTTTTAATTCACAGTTTAGAATAAAAAAAAGTGTATATTTTTTTGAGTTCAATAAAAATCAAGGTAAATTTGAAAAATTCGGTAAATTTCGCATTTTTATTTCCAATACGTCCTGTAAACTATTTGTTTATTTTAATTTTATTATATCAGAAATGCAAATAATAAAATTACTGATGATGGCTGGATAAAATTGTAATATCCCTAGACTTTTCCGGTGTGTGTATTTCCAGTTTTGTGTTATTTACTAGAATCACAGATAACACATAATCGTTGTGTTATCTGTGCGTGTGATGTGCGTATAATGTGTTATCTGTGCTAGAATGTCTTTTCTGTCTACTGTCTCTCCTTGTAAATAACATATCAATAACTGTATCTTTTTAAAAATAAATTGTATACACATGTTGTACACTTAATAGTTTGTTACTTATACCCTTGTTAAGTAATTTATATAATTATATTGCGTATATATTTTTTTGTTGGTAACATAATACAACCCGTTTTTTCTTGAAGAAATAGCTACGCAACCTACTTATCGGCTTCTCATATAAAAATGGTTCAATAAAATGATATAGAACAATGATAAAAGGCCAATGAGGTATGAATAGGCGTGTAGATGTGGCATTGGATATATTTCTTTTCAATCAACACTGTTTAGACGATTTTAAACGTTTTAGCAGATATATTTATTGATTTCATTTTATTATTACAGTTATGTTTTATACCGGGTTGGCATTTCTGAGTTTGGGTGGCGATTTTCGTGTGTACGAAGAGTAATACGGTCAATACACGCAGTACAATAAGATGTACTGAATAAAGAATGAAGAGCAATTATTTTCCCAAGCGCATGAAATCTAGTGTCGGATTAAGTGCTTATGTTATAAACACTAATTACTCCTTATTTTTCTCTCTCCGATTTACTAGATCGCCATAGAGATTCACACCTAGACATCAGCAACCCAAGACTTCGCTTGACGATAGGGTATATTGGTATAGTTCAGTATAATATCTTTTTGAATAGAGATATACCGGGTGCGTCTTAAAAGTGGCTTACCCCATAACTTTTTAATTTTTTAAGAGAAAAAAAGAGTTTTATTTGACATAAATTAGGATTGCTATATTCAATTGTTTTGGTCCCTTCCTGTTTCACCGGAAATAACAACAACTTTTGATTTTTAAATGACACCCGCGGTATTTTTTTACTTTACTCGACAGAAAATGACATTCTGAATAGAATGTGATATCATAATATGTCAACTTTTACATTTTCGCATATGGTCTATTTGAAATTGTTACATGCGGTTCATACCGACAATTTGACTCGAAATACCAAATGTTTGGTATCAAATTATTCGTAAAAAATGCTTTTTCCAAATATGCTAATGAGCCACCCATTTGAAAAAGTTGAGATATGATTAAAAACACGATTTGGACATCTTTTAACCGGACAGTAAAAACTTTAGACGATCAAATCTATTTTCCCAAGACTCCTTGATTAAGTGTTCGAAATTAGTGTTTTTAACTCAGCCATGGCGCTCTAGACTGAAATTTGAAATTAATAATTTTTTAAGTGAAAATGTCAAAAGTTGAATCATGATATGTCATTCTATTCAGAGTGTCATTTTCTATCGAATAAAGTAAAAATAAACCGCGAGTGCCATTTAAAAATCAAAAGTTGTAGTCATTTCCGGTGAAACAGGAAGTGACCAAAAAAATTGAATACGTCAATCAATCCTAATTCATTTTACATACTAACATACCAAATCTCGTTTTTTATCTGAAAAAATAAAAAAGTTATAAAGGTGAGCCACTTTGCAGACGCACCCGGTATATTCTTGATATTTGAAATATTAAAAATGCAACGATATTTACAACAAAGGGTAACAGCATTTCAATGAAAAGTATGTATAATAATTATTCAATAATAAAAAATCCCATTTATCGCAACGTTTTTAAGAGTCACTGCATAATTTTATTTTAATTCCTTTTTTATGATCTTCTAAACAAAACACCTTTAAAAACATAAAAGTTAACAAAAGACAATACAAACGACAACAATTAAAAGTTAAAAGTAAACAAGTATTTGGAACGATGCAAACGTTTAATCAATGAACATTTTCAGACCGTTCCCAAAGATTAGACCTAATTAATTATCCTATTTGAAAATGTAAATTACTTCCGAAAGGCACGTATAATTACATTGTTAACACTTGCCATTCTAACTATCGGAAGTAAACGGTTAAGTACCCATGCTGGTATTTATTCAGCGAACAAGATATATCAAGCACCTGTACAGTTCAAGGTGCTTGGTGTTTAATCTTTTTTTTTCGAGTATTTGAAACTGTAACGAAAACAATTTCAGTTTAGTTCTTGTCTCTAATTGGCCAGTAATTAAATAATTAAATTAGCGAACAATTGAGATAACCGCAGTATGTACAGGGTATTGTAAATTTTCTAGAGCCTTATACGAATGTGGCGAAACTTTAGAAAACAAGACACGAGGAATTATCCAAAGTGATAAGTGTAGATCTAATCTAATGTGTTCATTACGAGTTTTCGAAAACTATACATACCGAGTGCGTCTCAAAAGTGGCTCACCCTTATAATTTTTTTAGATATAAAAACGAGTTGTTAGTATATGACATAAATTAGGATTAATTGACGTATTCAATTGTTTTCGGCCACTACCTGTTTCACCGACAATGACACAACTTTTGGTTTTTAAATGTCACCTTGGGTATTTTTTTACTTTATTCTATAGAAAATGACACATCATATAGAATGACATAGAATGGATAGAATGACATATCATTTGTGAACTTTTGAATTTCTCGCTTAAATAAAATCTTATTTTAAATTTCTAGACTGCCATAGAGGCTGTGTTAAAAACACCAATTTTTAATCAAGGAATCCTTGGAAAAATAGACTTGATCGTCTAATGTTTTACTTGTCTTGTCCTGGCCGGTTAAAGATGCCCAAATCGTATTTTTAATCATATCTCAATATTTCACTGGAACAAGGGTGGCTCATTAGCATATTTGGAAAAAGCATTTTTTTACGAATAATTTGGTACCACACTATGCTATTTTTTTAAATTAAATATATTAAAAGTTGACATATGATATGTCATTCTATTCAGAGTGTCATTTTCTATCAAGTAAAGTAAAAAAAATACCGAGGATGTCATTTAAAAGTCAAAAGTGGTAGTCATTTCCGGTGAAAGAGGAAGTGACTGAAAATAATTGAATACGTCAATCAATCCTAATTTCTGTCATATACTGACATACCAACTGTCGTTTTTTGTTTGAAAAATTAATACATACATACATGAAATTTGAAAAATTAAAAAAAGTTATAGGAGTGAACTTTTGAAAAACACCCAGTATACCAACCATCTCAAACTAAATAAAAAATATGTAAACACCAACAGCCCGAACTAAAATTTAAAGTCGTTTTCATGGCAATCAAGTCAAATTGATCTCGTTGGTCTATAATAATATTGTTTTTGGAATTAAGTATTTCCTGAATGTACTCTCTGAATCATCTCCTTTGTAATTTGGGTCTTAAATTCGAATGAGTAGGTAACTGTTTTTCAAATTGTTGTAATGAGTTTATATAGTACCTACGTCCAATTTTACGTCAATAACATATTAATTAGTTATTGGAATAATAGTGTAATTATTTAATTATATACTTGCAAAAAATAAGGTATAAATAGATTTAGATCGATAAGTAAACTAAGAATTTAGTTATTTTGTGGGTTTATTATTTTTTCTTTATTCAAGCCATATGAATATAACAATAAGACTATTTAAGTAAATGTTACTTATATGCTTGATAGAAACTTGCGTTTATTTTTAGTTATATGTATTGATTGTATTGATGAGAAAAAAACTCATTCTTACCTAGCCAGCTGCTTTGTGTAGAGGTAATTCCAAATTCATTCAAACTTTCAAGCTGTGGTATCCACACTGCACTATATCCCTGGCACATTCCTATGGATATTGACACGGAATGGGCACAAAATGCAGCTAAAGCCTGTAAGAAGAAACATGATGAGTAAAGGTATAATTAAGATTGATTGTTATATTTTTACAAAAAAATATGTTTCTCTGGTTACTCTATCTACTCATAGTTGATGATTTAGTGCATTAACACAGTTTATAGTACAGCTTATATGTATACAACCAGCTCGTCATATTCGTTGTGTAGCAGGTACGCAGACGTACATACAAATAATCGGCAGGCTTGGTGTGAATAGGCTGTGGTTTATAGTCAGACGTCAAGTAAATGATTCTTAATTTAACAATATAGATGAGGCACCTAGAGAACGTAACTGGAGGCTAATAAATACTTCAAAAAACGTAACCTTGCTAGCACCATAAATTCATTGTTTTACAGTGAATCTATAATAGTATATTTCTTTGTTTGTTAAATTTATTTGCCAATATAGTTAACAAAATGATTAACTGAAAAGGTAACGTTATTGAAAACGATTAATCAAACATTTTCATTAAATGAATTGACCCAATTAAAATTATAAATAACCACCAAAAATTCCAGAATTCATGTACAATAGAAACCGCGAATATTTTTCGTTCCAGATGTTGTCAAATAAAAAACTTATGAGTTTTAAATGAACCCTTAAAATATAATTACATATTGTTTATAGTTGAGGGATGTTCACACATATGGCTCACAGACGCGTTAGTTTTCAGTGAGTCTCCACATTGAAAAATAAAAAGTGTGATTGATGATATGCTTTGATTATTTTTTATTTTACTCTTACGATTACAATAAGAAAAAGCAACATTAAAATATTTTTTGACTGTTAAATTATACAACATATTTCGATATTTTTTATTATTAAATACTTATTAATTTAATTGTTCCAGATGATTTAAGAATATCAATATTGTGACAGCAAAAATGTATCCAACAAGCCAGGGAAGATTTCGACAAATGTCATCCAAAAAATGACAGGAAATACAATTTAGCTGTCATGTATCCTCTCTTTGGACAGATTTTAGGCTTAAGGATATTTTTTTGTAAAAAACAAAAGTTAAATTTCTCAACAAAGATTTTAGTATTACTGTTATTTTATTAATATTTTTTTAGAATTTATGTTCCATATACCAGGGACTGTAAATGATTTTATATTTTTATTTCATTAGAAATAAACTGTAATTGCTTCTCAAAAAAGTCATTTAATTATTATTGGATAAGCTTAAATGTTTATGTTTTCAAGAAAGAAATACAATGAATTAAACAATATGTCTGATTTATATATCTGGAATATATTATATTTTATAACATCAATTCTTTATAATTTTTACATAAAATAAACCTACATATATAGTTATGAATGATTTATGATTCTATGTAAGAAAAAAATAATTTTGTTTATAATGTTTTCATAACGTTAGGGTGGGTTTACATGCATCCGTTATGTCGTCCATCGTTAATTTTAATCAGTTTTATTGGTTTATTTCAAAATTGACCGCTTATACTTAAATATAATTAGTGAAGGAACGACGGAGCATGTAAACCCATACTTAAAATAATAACCAAGTGTTCAATGGCAGATATTTTGGTGTTACAAAAGGTAAACATATTTCAAATTTTATATTCAGTTTAGTTAAAATATTTAGAAAATATTTAGATTTATTGTGTCCGCCTTTGTTGAGTTATAGCTCGTCATCCAGTCTCAGGATCTAACTCAGACGAGTTGGTTTCCAGGGAAGCAGAACGATTCTGGTACTGTCTGGTACACTTATTGGAGTACTCGCACCTTTTCTAGCTAGATCGTTTGCTTTTTCGTTACCTTCTATCACTTGGTGGGCTGGCAACCAGAGTAGAACTTTATTATTGGTTACATTTTCAACAGACACTCAACTACTGATTGAGGGGTCTGCACTTAAAGGCCTTTTGTTTAACAATATTTTTTTTGCAGCACAAATATGTATTGTATTTATATTTTGTTGAACAATAAACTATTTATTATTATTATATAGGATATACCGGGTGCGTCTCAAATGTGGTTCACTCCTATAACTTTTTTATTTTTTCAGATAAAAAACGAGATTTGGTACGTTAGTATATGACATAAATTAGGATTGATTGACGTATTCAATTGTTTTTTGTCACTTCCTGTTTCACCGAAAATGACTACAACTTTTGATTTTTAAATCGCATCCTCGATATTTTTTTTACTTCATTCGATAGAAAATGACATTCTGAATAGAATGACATATCACATGTCAACTTTTGACATTCTCACTTAATAAAAAATCGTATATTAAAATTCAATCTAGAGTGTCATGGCTATGTTAAAAACACTAATTCTTAATCAAGGAGCCTTGGAAAGATAGATTTGATTGTCTAATGTTTTTAGTGTCTTGTCCTGGCCGGTTAGAAAATGCTCAAATCGTATTTTTAATCATATCTCAATTTTTTCAAATAGAACGAGCGTGGTTCATTAGCATATTCGGGAAAAGCATTTTTTTACGAATAATTTGATACCAGACACTTGGTATTTTGAGTCAAATTTTTGTTACGAATCGCAAGTTATAATTTCAAATAAACCATATGCGAAAATGTCAAAAGTTGACATATGATATGTCATTCTATTCAGAGTGTTATATTCTATCGAATAAAGTCAAAAAAAATACCGAGAGTGCTATTTAAAAATAAAAAGTTGTAGTCATGACTAAAAACAATTGAATACGCCAATCATTCCTAATTTATGTCATATGTCATATGTCATATACTTAAATACCAAATCTCGTTTTTTAACTGAAAAAATAAAAAAAGTTATAGGGGTGAGCCACTTTTGAGACTCATTCGGTATATTGTAAGGATAATTTATTGTTATGTTAGATATAGAATACAGAGTAGACATCTCAATATATTTTACATTCTAGCCTTGGAACAACAGCAGACGGAGTTTTCTAGATGTTCAGCCGTCCATATACCCCCATCGCCTAACGTCGCGTCGCTTAACTTCGGTGATGGATCGGAAAGCAGTATTTCAACATTGTCCTGTTTTTTCTACTTTTTTTATTTTTATTATTATTTTCTATTGGCATCATTTTAAAATAATTTCTAAAATTTATATGTATATATATATATATATATATATATATATATATATATATATATATATATATATATATATATATATATATATATATATATATATATATATATATATATATATATATATATATATATATATATATATATATATATATATATATATATATATATATATATATATATACTCAACTAAACGTAACGTCGCATCCCCACGCCTAACCGCCACCTGTTACGATCAAGAACATCTTCCTCTTCCAAGTTACGGTCCTCCATTGCCCTTCTGATGGCCTCATTCCAGGATCTTCTAGGCTATCCTCGTTTCCTTTTTCCAGGAGGTGACCAGCTGTAGATACGGTAGGGCCATCTTTGGTGTTCCATGCGTAGCAAGTGTCCAAACCACTTAAAGCCCCTCTGTTCGACTCTATCCACTATTGTCTGTGTGGCGTCCATTTTGGCTCTGATTTCCACGTTCCTAACTCTGTCCAGTTTAGATACTCCCGCACTGCGTCTCAAATAGTCCATTTCGAGTGCATTCAAAGCTCGCTTTTGTTCAGCTTTTAAGGTCCAAACTTCACACCCATAAGTTACTACCGACTCCACTAAAATTTATCATCCTATTAATTTGATTTTCACAATGTACATATCTTTTGTATAGTAGCCATAAAAAGTGAAAAGACATTTTCAAAGACAGAAATTACATGAATAAGCTATTGAATCATCCCCGAAGATTTCCGGAAGCTTTTAGTAAAGAGACTGGTCTTTGTGTATGTTTATATACGCCCGAGTTCAAAATTAATGCGATAATGACAGGAGAAATGACTTGGGATCTTCAACAATAAGACCAATTTAGTACTAAGCGTAGACTAAATAACGAAAACATGTGACACCTATTCATTCAGTTTGTTTTTATCATTTTTCATTGTAAATTTAAGTAGCGTAAACGTTTATGGGTCAATATAATTACAAAAATATTACTTTGTTACTTTATATTGATGTACACAAATGACTATTCCCAAAGGAATCTCATTTTCATTGTATACAGGGTGAATCTTAAATAAATGCAAATATATTTTCAGGGCTGGTAGATTTCGATAAAAAATAGTATATGGTTTTATAAGGAGTAAAAGTGATAATTTTTGTGGCGAGGCTGTACGTTTGACAGGTTGTAAGCGAGGCACAAAAAGTCATTTTTACTCCGAGTATAACATGCTATTTTTTCAAACGCCACAAATAATTTTTTAAACGATTTCAAACGTTTTAAATAATATAAAAAGATTTAAAAGTAATACCCCGTAAGTAATTATATATCGAGAAACCATGGTTACGCTAGTTGAATTTGACAGTTTATGTCAGTTTAATAATATATTTTCATACTTTTATGCTTAGGCGTAAAAGTGCTTTACTTTTATGCCTAGGCGTTAAAATGACTTTTTTATAATGTCAATCATGTCCCAAAAAATTAATAGTTTTGTGGTGTCAAATTTGACAGCTGTCGTTTTTTTTAAGTTCTCCTTTTTTAATGAAAATCGATATACATATTATTAGGATACCCATAGAAAGTTGAAAAATGTATTTTTTGTTAAAATTATACGCAAAAGTTAGAATTTATTATACCTTAAAGAATATTAATAAGAACTTAAATGTAGCAAACAAAAAAAGAAAGCTCCTAATTTAGAAACATTCGTAAATAACGATAAGTAATCAATGTACCTATTTCATTTTGCTGTTATTTCTAGAAATAAATTAATTAATTTGTTTTTTAAATGTTTTTCTTTGAGAATGCATATTTATTTAAAGTCAACAATTTAAAAAACGTGTATCTAAATTATGTTCTAGCACAAGTCGAATAATTTTTTACGTCACGTGTAAAATTTTTTTGAATACATCTCTGGGCTGACTGGTGCTTACGCGGCTCTTGGTTTTGGCGAGAGAGCTCGCCG